CTTTACCGGTGAGACCAACTTTCTCATTTGGTCGTACTTCCCACCTGGTCACAGGAAAAACATCTGACCTGCTGAACATTTTCTTATCCATAGACGCTACAATTTACGATTTTCCCTGAACGCCCCACATAGCAGGTAGCTGCTGCTGGTGGCCGCGGTGCTCAGACCGGTGAGCGACCAAAGATGACTTTAAACAGAGTGAACCAGGAGGTTCTGATGTCAGATTGGTCCAAGATGAAACCCAGTCATTTGTTCTCATGTGAGCAGAACAAACAGCGTGTAGCTCTGTTTCTCATGAGAAGACCACATGTCTAAGCATAAATACTGCAGCACACTGAAGTTATAGAAGTCCTGTTCTCCACCACTGTGGTGCTGCTGGTGGGACACAGTTGGACCGGATTTCAGCCCAACAGTTTGTATAAAACCTCCGTGTGTCCCTGGACTCATTCCAGTACATCTATGATCGGACCAGAGACGTCCTGGAGAAAAACAACACCAATCACCTCTTGTGTCCCATTCATCCATCCATCCATCCATTGGTCCAGTTGGTCATGATGACCCGCCCCCAGCCCCTGACGGTGCTTAGCTCTGGCCCAGCAAAGAGTCGGTTCTTGCTAATCACCAGTTCTGAGAACCTGGAGCCGGTGCTTAGGCGATGGAACCACAAAGAACTGGTGCCGAGTCAGGCACTAGCACTGGAACCAGTTTGGTGGAAAAGAGCTACCAGTGAGTTTAGTCGTGATTCTGCTTTTATTTTTACAAACTGTGCTGCAGCAGCTCATTTTCCTGCATTCTGGACCACAGTGACAGGAGCTGCTTTAGTTTACAGTCGCTGTGCTTTGAGGAGGTAATTAAGCAGCGTTTTCCAATGAGGCCGTTTGATGAGTACAGTAGCAGCAAAGACCCAACAATTAGGCCTGGAATCATTTTAAACCGCATTAGAGGAGTTTAACCTAAAGAATACTGACTGTGCTCCGTTAGAACGGACCTCGCTGTGTGTCGTTGCACATCTAAGTACGTTCTGAATCCTCCACATTAGGCACCGTGAGCTTTATTGATCTCTCTCGGTGTTGTTTTGTTTCCGAGCAGAGCCAACTCTGTCTGCCATGTCCCCGAGACTGCCATGAATCTTGGAGGGGAGCGGCGGAGCCAGAGAGTGCTACCACACATTAAGGGAATGAATATTGATTTAAAAACAAATTTGACATGGTTTTTAAATCGACTTGAAAAATGCATCACTTAAAGGAGTCGGGGGTTTGTAGTCTGTCAATGGAGCGGAGAAAAGTTCGCTCTTGTTTTATGGTTTAATAAGATTCCATTAATGGCTTCTTCCACCTTGAAAAAAAAAAAGAGAAAGAAAAGAAATGGTGTGTGTCGCTGTGCGCACGTGTGCATAATACACCACATGTACGAGTGTGTGTGTGTGTGTGTGTGTGTGTGTGTGTGTGTGTAAATACGCACGTGATTATTGGTCTCAGGTCGGAGGACGGTTCCATTTAGAAGTGAAGGGAAATGACTAATTTGTGTAAGTGCGTGTGTGTGTGTAGGTGTGCGTGTGCATGTGTGTGCGTGTGTGTGTGTGTGCATGCGTGCATGTGTGTGTGTGTGTGTAGGTGTGTGCGTGTGTGTGTGTGTGTGTGTCTGTAGGCTGCTGAACTGCCAACTAATGACTTTTTCAGGATGAGTAGCTGCAGCACAGGATGAAACAAACCAAACCACCTGTTTCACTCAGAACAACATTTCAGGAGTTTTTTTGTTGTCGTGATGAAGCTGCAGATGTTCGTCTCCTTCACTTAGAAAAGTAGTTTTAAGTGTCGGATCCGTCGTCCCTCAGAGGGCGGCCAGAATAAGACACCAGGCAATCTGGTGGGAGTGCTGGGCTGGCATGGACGGAGCTCCTGGGGCCGGGGCTGCATGCTCGCCGGGCCGGTGGAAGGAGAGCCTCTGGCCGCCTGCCCGGCTTCCAGCCTGACAGAGACGGATCGTATGGACGCCGGTGTTTTCCTCCCTAATTGCTGCACATCAACACATCTATCCCTCAGACGTGATGTTTTATAACCGAGCACCAGATTCCTGCTTCGACGACTTGAAATATGAGAATGTTTGGTTTGTTCAGACTTCAGCGATCTGCTGGTTTCAGTCGTGTTTAATCTAAATGACGTGCGTGCTGCCGTGCAACAGTTGAATCTCAACTGCTTTAAGGATGGAAATATTTCATGTTATGTTCAATTAATGTTAGAAAAGGAAGCACCGTGCAGCTGTGAACCGGCTCAGACGTCACATTTCTGCAGATTTGTGTTCTGTTTGTTCAACAGGTCCAGTGAG